TGCAATCAAGGAATGCCAATGAGTCTACCTTTTGCTTTCTTATCTTCTACTTCACGACTGTACCCTTTCTATTGGATGATAACAACTAACAAGTCCTTATATACTCATTGTGATGGGGTAACAGGTCTAATCATGTGTCATTGTATATTCAATATTCAACGGTACATTTATCTTTCTCCATTCTTTGCCAAATTAGCATTCTCTTTATCTTCTTATGAGAACCTTTTTAACTTTGAATTGACACTTATAGTTATAACATCATTTCTTAATTATAGAGTATTGAGGTATCCTTAAGAGACAGTTATAACAATGTTCATGTGGGCCAAAAGCTGCAACATATAGTAAGGGCGCATCTTATTTTACTTACGTCCATTATTAAGCACTATAATTGGATCTGAGTGATCTGACTCTACCCCACTAAGGTCTTTCCATGAGAGGATGTTGACTCACACTCCACACCAGTTAATTAAGTTCTAAGTATTAATTTACATCATGTGGACTAACCAGATACACCTCAGATTTCATTATTGTGGGAGATGCATATAAATTTTCATCTTATCCTTGCTAAGGATAGCCTTTGTGAGCGATAGATATTTTGTAAAACTTAGATGCAGTTCATTATGTATATGTGATACTGTTCTCATTAGTCATTAGAGTTTCAGCTGGATAATCTATGATTACTTTTAATGTAAACTTTTATTATACAGATTGTTAAAGTCAAACTCTTGTTTTGATTGGAGAATAATACTAAAATCACCGAACTACATGTCATCCTCATATTCTTGCAGCTAAAACCATATACAAATACTAGTGTTCTTAAAAGCTTATCCTTCATTCGGTGTATGAACCTAACAAAAGGGCTTCATATGATGGCCTTGCGCATTTAGTGGAGTCATGGTAATCTTTTAAGACTAAGAAGGATTGAAGGGACTGAAAATCTATTGAGATTGCTACGTGTAGTGGGTTGACAATACTTCTGATCACTGATCAGCACGCTCACATGATACTGATTATTATTGTTATTACAAAAGTTCAAGCTTTCAAAAAAAGGGAATTAGTACATGTCAGCTAAGCAAGACCAGAAGACTCTTTTCAGACTCAAATCTCAATGATAGAATTATAAGAATGGGTATAACACAATACACTAACTCACCCAAATATATTAAATTGGATTATACTTTTCAATCCTTTAACACGTATAATCCAATTCATATAATTAATTGGAATGATAAGTTGAGTTGAGTTGAATTGAATTGACAAGGGTTTTATCTATTCAATTGATTTATTTATTTATTTCTTAATTTTATCTATTAACACTGTTTTATGAAATTTTATTTGTGATTTATTTATTTATTATTTATAATTATATTTTGTAATTATTTTATTATTTGTTGGTAATTTATTTGTGGTGATTGGTGGACTTATTAAATATACTCTTCATTGAACATTTAAATCATAATTAATTTTACAACACTTTTTTCTTTATTTCTCCTTAATTTGTGGTATTCAATCAATGTGTATCACGATCACCTTAAATCATATTTATAACATTATAAATGTAGCTATACAGTACAGATGGTCCACATAGCTAAAATGGTACATATTCATTAACAAAGATCTAGAGTAAGTGCTTCCATGGTACAGAAGAAAGTAAGAATCTGTCCCCTTTGATATTTTGAGACTAGATGTTAATTATGAGCTTACTGTATGTGATCATTACATGGTGATTCAGAGAGTTCTCAAAACTTCCTTTGAGTCTAATTTAAGCCATTCCTCATTCATTCATATGGCAAGTGCGTTTGTCATTATTAACACAAAATGAGTATAGTGTCCTACTTGGAAAGTTGGGAATCAATTAGCAACTGATTTTTTTTTTCTCTACATCAGAAAATCTTTGGAATTGAGGAATTTGATTCTAATTATGGAAATTAAGATAATCTAAATCGAAGGTAAATAGAGAATCACGAGTCCCATGACAAGATACAATGTGGAAAATTTCCTTAATTTTGGAAATGTTCATTCCTCGTTGTGTTTACAAACCTTTCATTTTTCCCCCGAATCGAGTACTGAGTAATGTTTATTGGGGAATTCATATAATTAACTCCCTTATGTTTTCTTTTTAATGTATTTCACTTTTTTTTTTTTTTTTTTTAGAACTTTCAAGTTTCAATGTATTTCTTAGATGAGATATTTAATATTTCCTCATCAAATACTCAATGATTAAAAGTTGCATTTATATACAAGAAGGGTTATTATAATAATATTGATTTACTAAGTATTACATCGTTCAATAACTTTATATTAAATGAGAAATTTGTAAATTCATCTGTTAGATTGAAACTTCATATAATTTTATATGTGTATATCAAATTTTGTTAAAATTGAATATTAGGATATAAACAAGTCTCAGATCAATAAAATAAGAGAAGAAATAACAATTTATAAAACACAAGTATACTTCAATGACATAGAGGTCTTTTGGGTGATGACCAAAAGTAAAACTATGAGAGCTTAGGTCCAAAGTGGACAATATCTCATCATTGTGAAGTATGCTTGTGTAATAACCTTATAAAAATAACTCTCATAAAATATTCCCTTAGACAAATATTATAAAATAATCTCATCAGTGGTATATTTCGCTGCATGAAAAGTTAGGTTCCTTATTTGAAGGGAGGATTGTTGGGATACAAATAAGTTCAGGGTTTAGGATTTAGGATTTATATTTTAAAATGTATATATTACATCAATTTTGTTTTATAAGAATGAAGTATCAAATCATCTTGGATCTTTTTGTAGGAATGTTTGAGAGCCAAAAGCTTATTATGGTATCTTGATAGTGGCTGCTCAAGGCATATGACTGGAGATCCTTCAAAATTCTCAAGTCTGAAATTCAAGAATGAAGGGTGTGTTACTTATGGTGACAACAACAAAGGGAGAATTCTTGGTCATGGTAGTAACTCCTCCTCCCTAACATTGATTCAGAATGTATTGCTTGTTGAAGGGCTGAAACATAATTTGGTGAGTATAAGTCAACTTAGTGATAAAGGTTTTAAAATTGAATTTGATAATACTTGTTGCTTGATCTGTGATAAAAAGACAAAAGAAATTAGATTCATTGGAAAAAGAATTTACAACATATACATGCTTGACTTAGAACACTCAATAGCAATTTCCAACACCAAGTGCTTAATAACCAAAGAAGACAACATTTGGCTTTGGCATAGGAGAGCTGCACATATTCACATGGACCACTTAAAAAAACTTAGTAGAAAGGAGTTAGTGATAGGATTACCTAAACTCAAGTTTAGCAATTACAAACTATGTGATGCTTGTCAAAAGGGCAAGCAAGTGAAGGCTAGCTTTAAAACCAAAAATCATATTTCAACTACTAGACCTTTACAATTAATTCACATGGATTTGTTTGGTCCTTCAAGAACCATGAGTCTAGGTGGGAAATGATGGCTTCCTCCTTCCATGATTGATGTAGAGTGTGAAGGGGGGAGACCTTTCCCTTGATCTAGGCTCACCAAAGGGTAGACAAAAGGTGACTTATGATGGGAAAAGGAAGATGGGCGTGAAGTAGGTTTAGGGTGGCGGGAGAGTTTAGGTGCATGGTGTTTGGTTGCTCAAGGTTGGCTCACTCCAAGTATAGGTGGAGGCCACTCTAGGGTTTCACTCTCCAAGGGTGGAGAATGAAGGAGGCTAGCCGAAGTTAACCTAGTGACTAAGGAAGAGATGTTGAGGCATAAAATCTCACTCAAAATCTATATATTCCAAAATATTTACAAGTGGTGGGTGTCGCCACCCGCCGAAACGGGACCCTCCATGGATTAGTGGTTTTCGCAAAAAAAGATTCTCACATAAGATTTTTTTAGAAATGTAAAAATATTTGATATACACTAATTACTAAACATCTCTTAAAAGTAAAATTTGTGCAATTATAAAATCAAAATAACTAATTAAGCCTACTACTTTTAAGTATACATTTTAAAAGATAATTATATGTAAATACTTGATATATTAAAAGTTTTAAATATAATATTCAACGTATATTAGAATTTAACAATTATTATGATTTTCTCAGGTAACAATAAAGGTATTTTATTCACTACAAATTTGATTCTTATAATATTCAATTTTCAATTTTGTTTTTTAAATTTTAATATCTTAATTTTATAAAATTTATAATTTTAATTTTATCATTAAATATTTAATGAGCTACTAATATCGGTTGGAATAAATAGTAGTTATTTATATTCTTTAATCAAAATATCTAAAATTTGAATCTTAATTTTAAATATGAAATAGCTTATATTGTGAGATCTTATCTATGACTACAATCCCAACAATAGATTATATAGTGAGAACTTGTGTAGAATCATGATTCTCATACCAATGTGATAACTAATTAAAAAAAAAAAATTGCCGCATATTGAAACTCATTATCCCATTTTTGGGACTGTCATTCATTCTTCTAATTCCAACAATTTTCTTTTTCAATAGATGCTTCATATTAGTATTTAAATTTAATACATAAACAATTAATGAGTGTTGTGTAATAATAGAAAATAACCATTACCATTTCATATTTTGAAGAATGAACACTATTAAATTTTTTTATAAAGATTAAAAAAAAGGGGCAAAACTTGCTCATTTTATATAAATTAAAATATATTTAAGTAAATCAATTAAATTTTCTGATAAAAATTAATCATAAGAAACTTAATTGCCACTTCACACAAATAATATAATTATATGAAAAAAAACATATTTAAGGTTCATGATTCTATCCATGAAGATGCCGAAAGATAGGTGGCAGTGTTTGTCCTACCAGGTTATATTGATTCTATAGCTTGTTGATAATTTGACAAGTCACTTCTAAATACAAATATTGAGGGTGACACCAAGAAAATGTGGATTCGGATTTGAGAAATTTTATGGTACCTATCTTATTTGAGAGGGTACTGGTACAGTTTTTTATATTTTAATAGACAAAAAAGGAAAATAAGTGTCACATTTTCATTCCTCAATTATCTAGGAATACATTATACATATGTTTATAACCATTTTTTCTTCACGTTTTTTAAGACAGTTTTATCTTTAAAATTTTAAATAAGAAAAAATAATTTTAGAAATTAATCAGCAACCACTTTGATGGAAGAGTTTATAATGTTTTTAGTTTTCGCTCTTATTTTTCATTTTAATTTATAAATAAAATATAGATAAGTATAAAAAAAAAGTGAAAATTGAAGAGAATGGCAAAAGTGTAAATAGATAGGTATAAATGGGAGAAAGAGGATGGGTAGCCATCAGTGGTGCGTAGAGGGAAAGCTATCAAAGCCTAAAAATAAGGTGAAGTGGATAAGAATTAGTTAATATTATTTAATTACGTAATTAATTAATAACAAAAAAAAGTTTAAGGTAGCTGCGCCACGTGTCCTACCGAAAGCTTTTGACGATGGCTTTGAAGAAGAGTGTGCGAGACAGTGAGAGCTATCGCCTATAGTTGAGTTGAGAGAGAGAAAACATGAAAGTTTGTACTTTGTAGTATGTTTTGGAATTGGGTTTAGAATCTTGTTTGGGATTGGGAGAGAAAGAGAGAGAGATGTACATAGCTTCCATGGGAAGGTCTTTCAAGGACTCCTTGAAACTGCTTGAAGCTGATATTCATCATGCCAATACCCTGTCAGTTTCTCTCTTCCTCCTTTCAATTTATTTTTCATACCCCTTTTACAAAAAAAAAATAAAAAATCGCTTCTTTGTGATCAAGTTTTTGTCTTTGTTTCTAAATGTTACACTCAGGCCACCCTTCATTTTTGTTCTTCTCAAATAGGTTTGTATTTTATTTTTTCTATTTGGATCATGGCTCTCTGGGGTTTAGTTTAGCCTCTGATTTTTGTTCCAATGTATTTGCTTTCCTTCTCACTTCTCCATCAACCATCAATTTTTTTTTATCATAAATACGGTGCATTTAATTTTGTTGCAAATTCATTTGTCAAGTATTTTTCTATTTTTTGATTTTCCACTCACCCACTGTGCCTTATCTTGAAATAAGATGGTTTCTGCCACGGCAAACTTTGCTAGTAGTGTAACAGGCGCCATAAGTGACCTGGTTTTAGAATTCAGTGTGATGCGATAACAGGCACCATGTGTGTGCGTGTTTAGGAATTAAGTCAAACTAGATTTTAAATATATAAGTTGTACTTGTTTTATAAATTTAAAATTAAGTTTGACATATTATCTATTGTAAGCTTCTTTTATAGATCTGCTATTTAAAAGTATGGCCTAACATATTAATTTATTTTGCATTAACAATGTTAAATAAATCAATTGATTTAATTTTAAATAATCTAAAAATTATATTTTTAAATGAACATGTGAGTTTTTTCTTTTTAAATTTGTATGATAAATTTTTTTTACTCTATTATAATTAAAATTTAGAATTTAAAATAAAAGAAAATAAAAAATAATTGAAAGATAATTTATGCATCCCATATACACTAACGTACATATATATTGAAACCCCTATCTTTGAAGGTACCGTAACAACTCCCATCAGGTTTTAGTTTTCCCTTAACGTGCAAGACGGACAAGTTTGAATATGCTCGAACGTTATTCAAAATGCTGATACGATGAAAGCCTATACCATTTCCCCCTAAATACTTTGGCAATGTCAAAAGTATTTAATCTACAATTTCACTTGATATATATATGCTTTGATTCATAAAAGTGGTAGTTTCTGATGGTTTAGACTTGAAAAATGTGTGTCCATATAAATTGATTTATAAATAAATTGATTTCTAAAGTGATAAATTTTACAATAAGCAAATAAAGTAAGATGAGCTTTTTACATGTTTGAGATTCATAATTTTTAGAAATTATCAAAATATGTTTAGTTCGTTTTAAATATTTCTTTTGAATTGTTATTTGAGAATTAATAATTTTTACAGTATTAATTAAACAAATAAAAAAAGTAATATGGTATTTTTACTGTATTAGATCTTTATTTTTTTTATCGAAAAAATTATTTTTTCCACCTCTTCCATGGAAATAATTAGTGAGAAGCCTGCAAAAAAAATTATTATCAAAAAAATATTTCCTGATAAAAATAGATCTAAGTGTATAAGTTTTTTCATTTACAAATATACAATAATTGATTAGTTTTAAAGTGTAAATTATAAACTGTTCTTATAATTTGAAATGGTATAAAAAATAATTATTTATAATATAAATATTTATCCACTAATTTATTTTAAGAGGACTATTTTAATTCTCTTAATTAGATATTTTTAATATTATTTCTTTACATTTTTTTGAATATGAATTTTACATATCATTCTGTTACTAACTAAAAAAAAATCTCTCTAAATTATATTGTTAGAGATCCCATATTAACTAATGGTATGACTAGTTTAATGTATAAAAGTGAGAATCAATTCTCATCTTAAAATTGAGTTTGACTCTTATTTCACTTTTTTAAGACATGTCAAATTATATTTCTTTTATCTTTAACAGTATAAATACATTTTTTAATTCTCTAACCTTTTGATCTATTATATTTTATCTCTATTTTTTAATTTGATTTTAATAATTTTTTTTTACTAAATTTTTTACTTTACAAGGATCAAAAATAAAAAATTTTAAATTTTAGAGGATGAAATTTTTTTTATAAGAATCACAATGAAAAAACTCTTTCATTTTATGGTATTAAAAACATCTTTTAAGTCTAAAATTTATGAATCCTAGAAAATAAGAAGTAAAATCCAAAGGAATGGAACTGACCTTATTTAGGAGTTGTTTGAATAAACTTGTCCATAATAGTATTCAAATAAAGAGAAAAATAAGAAGGAAAAAATAAATAAATTAGTTTGAATTCAGATAAGAATTTATTTCATTTTTCTTTCCTATTTCTTTTCTCATAAAAGTACTTATAGAGAAGTTTCTCTAAATAGATTATTAGATAAATTCACATTATATTTTAATTAATAGTATATTTGATAAAATATTTAAAAAGTTTATAAATTTTTTAAAAATCTTATAAATTCAAAATGGTCATTAATCTATAATCTATAATATATAATTAATAAAGAGAATTATCTCATTTGATCTACATGTTTTTTTAAATAATTTTATTTTTAAATTTTTAAATAATAAAAAATAATCATTCTTACAAAAATAAGATTCAAACTTAAAATTCTTAAATTTGAGGTGTAAATACAATACAAATTAATTTAACAAAGATGATTTTTAAATATTTTTATTAAATAAAATATAAAAATATAAAATAGCTTGACGCCACTAATAATAATAAAATAAAAGAGATAAATTCTCTTCGTTCTCACTTTCTCGCATACACTTTATCCTTCAATTATATTATAATTTTCTTCCTCTAATTAAGTATGAGTTAAATAATAAGATGGAAAAAAATATGTGCCCACTAAGAATATGACTACCAACTCTTTTCTAATTCAAAATAATGCATTTGCAATTTATTTATTTCATTTCTTTCATTCAACACACATATCAATTTATTTCTTTCTCTCTCTTTCTTCTTGAAGTTTCTCAAATTCAATTATTTTTTTTCTTCTTAAAACCTCTAAAAATAAATATGCAAAGATAGAAAGTGCCTCTTTCTCATCGATATTTATAATAATTGATGATTGGATGACCATGTCTCATCATATTTTAATTGAATTCTATTAGTTGTTAACATTTAAAATTTTCACTTCCAATATTCTAAAATCCTCTTCAAATTCAATGCTGAGGTACCTTCGTGATGGTCCTTGTCCATAAAGGACTGATCAATTCTGAATAGTAACCATAAATAAGTTGATATTCCATTTATAGTTCTAGATTTTGTTGACAGTTTCAAAAAATAGATTTTATTGGTCAATTACGCTGAATAATAAGAAAATTCAAATGACATTAATTTCAAAGTTTAGACTATATATTAAGTGGTGGGAGAAGGGACGCGTGCGCTGTTTATAGTCTCATTCAAGAAGTACGAGCCTGAGAAAAATAAGTAATTTAAAGAATAAAGTGTAATGTGTTAGTACTTTATTATTTTTTGTTATTGTTATTATTATTATGTAAATTTTTTATCCGACTTAAAATTATTTTAATTTAACTAGTAATATTAAACTGGTGTAAAAAAATTAGTAGTATTAAGTCTAAGTTGTAAATCATTTGGCGTAGATTTATTATAGATTAATTAATAATATTAAGTCTTTTGAGTATATAATTATCTTTAGTTGAGTTGTACAAAATTGTTTACTGTAATACCTTCGATATTTTAAGAGTTCATATTAAGGAACTAAATGTATTTTATTTATTAATTTCTTAACTAATATTTTACAGTCACCGCTTGATTACATTCTAATTACAATATATTCCTTTTTATGAGACCAAATTAATAATGTTCGTCGATTTTTCTTATAAGAATCAATCTAAATTATCTCTAGTATTAATTATTTTTCCTAAAAATATTTTTAATTAAAGTGATTTCTCTTAAATCATAAATCAGTTAGTGAAGTAAAGTATCTCATTAATGTTAGGTATAACTTTTAAAGAATATAATTTAAAAATAAATTATAAATTAGCAGAATTCCTTTATTCTTATGAATTAATTGGGTTTTATATAAAAAAAAATGGGAGTAGCAGACTTTAATATTGAAATAATATAATTTATTAATATGATGTTTTGTTTTCAGCTACATTTGATTTATACGCCATTAAGTATAGAACTAAAAAAGACGTCCAATGTTAGAATTTGCATTTTTTTCTCTACCGGAATTTTCAACTTTGGTGGACAATAACCTAAACAATTTAGTCAAGTTGCAACTGGTTTGTAAGTTGGTCATGAGGAACTATAAGAGGGAGAGATAACATGTGCTCAAAACAAAAACAGCTTCAACCTTGTTATTTGTTTTAAGGTTGTATCTCATAATCATTTCCGATGAGTTTAACATTATGGCTTTTCTTGCTACCCTTCTGCCTCATAAACTTCGGCATCAAAACCATTTTGGTGACTGGTCATTGTCTTGGTCATCAACAATCTTTGTTGCTCCAGTTGAGGAACAACCTCGTATTTAATCCTACCAAGTCCAAAAAATTGATTCACTGGAACCAAAGTGATGATTGTTGTGAATGGAATGGAGTGGCATGCAACAAAGGCCATGTTATAGCCCTAGACTTGAGCCAAGAATCCATCTATGGAGGTATTGAAAATTTAAGCATTCTCTTCGAGTTACAATATTTGAAAAGTGTGAATTTGGCCTATAATGAATTCCATTCTGGAATTCCTCCGGAGTTTCGAAAGTTAAAGAATTTGAGGCATTTGAATTTGTCAAATGCTGGCTTTGAGGGGCAAATTCCAATTGAGATCTCTTACCTAACAAAGATAGTAACTCTTGATTTGTCTAGCACAATTACTTCACAACATGGTTTAAAGCTTCAGAAGCCAAATATTGCTATGCTTTTGCAGAACTTCACAGAAATCAAAGAGCTACACTTGAATGGCATAGCAATATCAACCAAAGGAAAGGTGTGGAGCCATGCTTTATCTTCACTTACAAACTTGCAAGTTTTGAGTATGTCATTTTGTAATCTCTCTGGTCCTTTGGATTCATCATTAGCAAAACTACAGTCTCTCTCAATACTTAAATTGGACCATAACAATTTGGCAAGTCCAGTGCCAAGGTCTTTGGGGAGGTTGTTTAATCTGACCACCTTACAACTCAATGGCTGTAATTTGAGTGGAGTATTTTCAAAAAATCTCTTCCAAATATCATCATTGCAGGTGCTTGATGTGTCTGATAATCCAGGTCTTCATGGTTCTCTACCAAACTTTCCAAGTCAAGGCTCTCTATATAACCTCAATCTTAGCCACACAAATTTTTATGGACCTCTGTCAGATTCTATTCACAATTTGAAGCAATTGTCTAAATTAGATCTATCAAATTGCCAGTTCAAAGGGACACTTCCATCTTCTATGTCAAATCTTACCCAACTTGTTCATCTAGACTTGTCATTCAATACCTTCACTGGTTCTATTCCATCTTTTAATAGGTCTAAGGCCCTCACAGTCTTATCCCTTAATCATAACAAGTTTATGGGTAAAGTTCCATCTACCCATTTTGAGGGCCTTATAAATCTCATGAGCATTGATTTAGGAGATAACTCCTTTGACGGAATAGTCCCCTCATCGTTATTTAGACTACAATCTCTTCAACATCTCTTGCTTTATTACAACAAATTTGATGGTTTATTGGACGAATTTCCAAATGCTTCTTTGTCATCATTAGAGATGCTTGATTTGAGTGGCAACAATTTGCAAGGGCCTATTCCTACATCTATCTTCCAACTCAAAAGACTTCGTTTGCTTCAACTTACCAAAAACAAGTTCAATGGCACCATACAACTTGGTATGTTTGGGAGGATGCAAAATTTATTTACACTAGATCTTGCACACAATAACTTGTTAGTTGATGCAAATATCAGGGATGATCATGATGCACCATCCTTTCCTAATTTGAAAACTCTTTGGTTGGCTTCATGCAATTTGAGAACATTCCCTGACTTGAGAAATAAATCTTCACTACTTTACTTAGACTTATCAAGCAATCAAATTGAAGGAAAAATACCCAAATGGATTTGGAAATTTAATTACATGATCGTTTTGAATCTTTCTCACAACATTTTGGCAGGTTTCGAAGGGCCTTTCCAGAAACTTAGTTCAAATTTGTTGAAACTTGACCTACACGCAAATCAGCTCCAAGGGCCTGCTCCTACTTTTTTGAAAAATGCCATTTACTTGGACTTCTCAAGCAATAGATTCAACTCTATTAACTTGGTAGACATTGGTAGCCACACTCCTTTCTTATATTATCTCTCTCTTTCAAACAACAATTTTCATGGAAGAATCCATGAATCCTTTTGTAACATTTCCGATCTTCGAGCACTTGATCTTTCCCATAACAAATTCAATGGTCAGATTCCTTTGTGTTTGACAAGAAAAAGTAGCACTCTCAGGCTACTAAATCTTGGTGCAAATGAGCTCAATGACTATATTTCAGATACTTTTTCAACCTCATGTTCTCTAAGATTTTTAGATATCAGTGGAAATCTTTTGAAAGGAACCATCCCCAAATCTTTGGCTAATTGCCAAAAACTACAAGTTCTAAACCTTGGAAACAATCAACTAATTGACAAATTCCCTTGCTTCTTGAAAAACATCTCCTCCCTTAGAGTCATGATATTAAGGTCAAACAAATTGCATGGGTGCATTGGATGTTTTAATAACATAGGAAATTGGGAATCACTTCAAATTGTTGATTTAGCCTGTAACAAGTTCAGTGGTACATTACCAGCATCACTCTTACTGAGTTGGAAAACATTGATGCTTGATGAAGATAAGGGTGGACAATTTGGTCATCTGTTTTTTAATCTCTATGATGACTTTAATCCTCTGAACTTTAAAACTGCAATTGTAGATCTCAACAATGAACTTCAAATGAAATTAGCTAAAATTATTGCATCAGAGCCACCCTATATAATAGACCACATAATCACTCATATATTTGAAGAAGGTGTTGGTGTTCGAAGTTACGAGGATTCAGTTACAATTGTCAACAAAGGTACACAATTAAACTTGGTTAAAATCCTCATTGCCTTCACTTCCTTGGATTTCTCAAGCAACCAATTTGAAGGGCCAATACCAAAAGAGCTTATGAATCTCACAGCATTGCATGCTCTTAACTTGTCACAAAATGTTTTCTCGGGCAACATCCCCTTTTCCTTCGGCAACCTAAAGCAACTTGAGTCCTTAGACTTGTCAAATAATTCTTTAAGTGGAGATATTCCCGTAGAACTTGCAAGGTTATCATTTCTTTCGGTGATGAATCTCTCTTATAATCATTTGGTGGGAAAGATTCCCACGGGTACACAAATTCAAACATTTGAGGCTGATTCATTTATAGGCAATGAAGGGTTATATGGACCACCATTGACCCAAAATTGGGGTGGTGAAGGAAGGCAAAAGTTGTCACCACCAGTATATGAAACATTTGATTCTCATGCATGGAGTTCAATTGAATGGAATTTCTTATCTTTAGAATTAGGGTTTACTTTTGGCTTTGGAATTTTCATCTTTCTCCTTATTTTTTTGAAGAGATGGAGGATATGGTATTCCAAGCATGTGGATGACATCCTTTACAAGATCATACCTCAACTTGATTTTGTTTATGTGAATCGTGGGGGACAAAAATATAGAATTATTAGGTGGAATCCTTATTGATTGTAATTTGCATTTTTTTCTTCTTTTTGTATTTGACATTTTCTTGATCTTTTTGTTTGATGTCATTGTGGGAATAAGGATTTGATCCATAAAATGTGTTGATCCTACTGATAAGGTGTTTTCGGAATGTTTTAGGCAAGCTCTAGGACTCACATTTTTATAGTTATAGAGTTTGTTAGTCTTTGAGAATTTTTATTTTATATTTTGAGTATCGATTTGTTGTTTTGTATTTTTTTAGATATGAAATCTAGTTTAGGTAAAAGTAGGTGACATGCAATATGTTTTGGTCAATATGTAATTGGTAAAAGAAGGTGAAAATTTGTGTTTTTAATGGGTGGTATAACTAAGTCAAGATTTTGAATCTTAATATAACTAAATAGGCTTGGGACAAACTCAAGGAAGAGTTCCAAGGCAAGGAAAGAATAAGGAGGATGAAGGCGCTAAATTTGATAAGAGAATTTAAAGTTATTAAAATGAAGGAAGTTGAAATAGTGAAGGGGTTTGTTAACAACCTTTCTAAAATGGTTACACAAATTAGATTACTAGGTGAAAAACTTAGTGATCAACAAGTTGTGGAAAAAATATTTGTGTCTTCTAGAGAGGTTTGAGTAAAAAATCTTCTATCTTGAAGAAAATAAGAATTTTTTTTATCACATATCAATTTTATAACTTGTAAATGTTATACAAGCTACTAAATGAAGAAGATCCTTGAGGATGGAAGAAAATATCGAAGATGTTTTTTGATAAGTGCTATAATTTAATGAATATTAGTCTTAATGAATATACATATTTCACTATATTTTGCCCCTTTTGTTGATAATTTAAGAAGGAACATCAAGATAACAGAAGGTAGATTGATAAAATCAATTTTTCTCTCTATTTTACAGGAAAAGAGGAATTTCTAAGTTTCACCGCTCAAGCCTTGAGCCACTGCCATAGCTGTGAAATTATGAAGCTTCAACAGATTTCTAGCGTCATGGCCCTAAACCAACGTTACAATGGTGAAGCAACAGAGATGCCACAGATTCTTGGCACCATGGTGCCCAACCAACACTTGAGTTGTGGAAGGCTGAAGTTGATTCAAAAATAGGGTATTTCACTTATGCAACGCTGAGTCAATGCTAAAGTTATGGAGCTTTCTTCAAGTTGAAGTGCTCTCCATCGCTGTAGCTGTGAGCCAATGCTGCAGCGGTAGGAGAATTTTTTTTATAGATTTTTCCTCTATTTTGAAGATCATATAAATATCTATTCAAAATGAGAAAAAGGGAAGAAGGACCAGAAAGAGAGATAATAGGATTTGAAAGAGATTTGAAGAACAAGGTTGCTTAAGAACGAGGATCATCTTTCTTATTTTCTTCTTCTAATCCATGGGTTGTATACTTGCATTCTCTTTGACTATGCATAGTTAAACTCTCCCAGTTGAGATTAGGTTCATTTTCCAATCTTGATGTAAACTCTTTCTGGTTTATATAGGTGAAGTTCAGTTATTCATAGTGGTGCTTAATTCTATACTTAATGCTTTGTTTGTATGATTTTCATTTCAAGTATAGTTGAGAAACATATTTGTAATCTGAACTGAATCTAGACACTTTCTGATTATTTGATGTCTAGGAATAGACTCAAATTCATCAATCAACAAATCCATGAACTTAATGCAAAAGCATTAAATTAATACATTGAGGAATCAAGTGTTGATTTATGGTTCATAGAGTTTCAAGTTGAGGAATCAATTTGAATGAATATCTGTGGATTGAAACCATGAATGAGTGAATAATTTTTTATACGAAATAGTAACTTCAAGTTGCATAAAATGAATATCAATCACAACACCTTTGAAACTTGAATTTCTTTTTAATCTTATTGTTCATGCTAATTGTAACTCTTTTTAAGTTTAAAGATTCATGTCCCTTAATCTTAATATGATTTTTTTTATTACAAGTTGATGATAGCCTATTCACCATTTGATTGCCTATAAATCTCTGAGTATGATATTTGATCTATATTGCCTACAAATCTCTGAGGATGATATTTGATCTATATTACTTTTGACTTAGTACACTTGTTGAGAAAAAAACTAACACTTTTGTGGTTAATACCAAAGGCAAAGTTCAAGACAGTAGTAATTGTGGGAAAAATATATTTAGTGGGAAGAAAGGAAAAGGAAAAAAAGGAAGAAGAAAGCAACAAAAGAGGAGGTTAAAAGATAAATATATATGTTGCCCTTATTGTAAAAAGAAGAATCATACATAAAATTTTGTTAGTTCAGGCCAATAGTCAAATGCAGGTCATGCAACCAACTTGGTCTTGTGAAGAAATTGTGTAAAAACAAAGCAAAATAAGAAGGAAAATAATCCCAAGTTGTTGAGCATAAAGAAAAAATAAGGAGCAGCATTTATTTGTTGCTTGTCGTTATTTAGCAAGAAATAGTAAGGAGATGTGGCTTATAGATAGTGGATGCACAAATTACATGACTCATGATGCAAGTATTTTCAAGAAATTGATCATACCCACTTCTCAAAAGTCACTGTTGGCAATGGGGAAAGTGTTGATGTCAAAGGCAAATGAGTTATTTTTGTAGAAATTCCCTTAGGTACTAAATACATTTAAGATGTTTTATGTCCATGAGATAAATCAAAATCTTTTAAGTGTGAGACAAATGCTTCAAAAGAATTATACCTTGCATTTTTAATTCACCATATATTTAATCTTTTTGGGTGTGAGCTAATGTCTATCAAAAAGAGAGATAAAAGTTTTCTAATAGAATGGAAACAACCTGTTATACATGCTTTTCCAAGTGCAATAGATAATTATGTTTTGTGGCATAAAAGACTTGGTTAGTTTAGTTACTTCACCTTGAAGTAAATGAGCTCAAATGGTTTAGTTCAAAATTAACCTTCCTTAAAAGATAATGTTGACGTGTGTGATGGATATATGTCAATTTAGAAAATAATTTAAATTGTCATTCCCTACAATAACAAGATGGAGAGTCACTAAAAATTATAGTTTATCCACACCAATGTGTGAGGTCTAATGAGCATAACATCTTTAAATGGCAACAATTATTTTCTATAATTTATAGATGATTTTACAAGGATGAGTTGGGTTTTTTTCTAAAGGAAAAATAATGTGTTTGTTATATTTCAGAAGTTCAAGGTTTTGGCTGAGAATAAGGTTGGATGTCAAATTAAAAAACTTAGATCTAACAATAGAACTGAGTGTGCAGTAGAGGAATTTAAATTTTTTTGGATCAAGTAGGAAATCAAAATTAGTTCACTGTTCCTTACACTCCCCAACAAAATTTAGTGAGTGAAAGAAAGAATAGAAATGTGATGAAAATGACCCGATGTTTATTTTTTGAGAAAGGTCTTCCTAAGAATTTTTGGGCTGAGGCTATAAATACCTCAATTTACTTGCTAAATTTATTGCCTTCTTAAGCTTTGAAGGGTGAAACACCCTATGAAGCATGGTGTGGAAGGAAGCCTTCAATGGAGCATTTAAATATATTTGATTGTGTGTGTTACACTCATGTTCCAGATGTGAAAATAGATAAACTTGATCATAAGTGTAATGTTGGTATTTTTTGTGGTACAATATTAACTCCAAAGGATACTACATATACAATTTGGAGGCAAAAAATTTATAAATAGTAGAGATATAAAAGTTGACGAGTTTTCAAAATGGAATTGAGAGAAACTTCAAGCAGGAGACTCAAGTAAAATGTCATTTGAAGAAGACACCTTACAAGAATAGATTCTGAAGATGATGAAGAGAAATATGATAGTGACACTGAATTTTCAATGAGAGGTACAAGAACCTTGGAAGATATTTATGCAAGATGTAATGTTGTTGCATTGGAGCTTACAAGATATGAAGAAGTTTGTGAATTTGAAAGTTGGGGAGCTTTCATGAAGGAGGAAATAAAGATGATTGAAAAAAAATAAAACTTGACAACTTGTTGATAGGGAAAGTAATAAAAGGATGATAGGTGTTAAGTGAGTTTATAGGACTAAACTCAATCTTGATGATTTAATAAACAAACTTAAGGCCAAATTGGTACCTGTTGCAAGGTATGATACAATAGAAAAGTTTGGTTGGAAAATTTAGCATTTTGATGTAAAATTAGTTTTTCTAAATGGATTGCTTGATCAACTTGAAGCTTTTCAAGTTCTAGGAAGTGAAGATAAAGTGTACAAGCTTTATAACGCTCTCTATGGCTTAAAACAAGTACCAAGAGCTTGGTACAACATAATTGATGGTTATCTTCTGCAAAAATGATTCAAATGAAGTGAAATTGAAGCCACCTTGTATATGAAGAAGTCAAATAATGAAGTGCAACTCATTATGTCTTTGTATGTTGATGATTTATTGACTATAGGAAATGAATCAAATTCCTTAAACCAATTTAAGATGCACATGAAGAAAGAATTTGATGAAATATTCATTTCATAAAGAAAATATGTTTTTAGATATTGAAGAAGTTACACTTGGAGAAATGCAAGTCTGTTGTTACTCCATTGATTGTAAATGAAAAATTATCAAAGAATGATGGTTATAATAAAGCATGTTTTTTATATGTATAAAAGTACAATTAGAAGTTTGTTGTATCTTTCAACAACTAGACCATACATAATGTTTGCTACAAGTTTGATTTTTATATTCATGCATTCTCCTAGTCAAGTTCACTTTAGTGCAACAAAAAGAGTTTTGATGTATATAAGAGGTACACCTAATTAAGGTTTGTATTTCTTAAAAATATGAAAGTGGAGAACTTGAAGGATATTCAAATAGTGACTAGGTAAGAAGTAAAGATGATTCCAAGAGCACCTCTACATATGTGTGTTCATTTAGCAATGCTATTTTTTCTTGAAATTCAAATAAATAAGATGTTGTGGCCCAACCCTCAGATAAAATTTAGTATATTTCAGCTGCAAATCAAGCTATTTGGCTGAGAAAGATTTTATTAGATGTGGGGTAGATACAAGATAAAGGTTTTGTCATAT